CCTAATTTTTCCCCTTGTCTTATCGGTTCCTGTTTTGGTCCCACTTTATTTACTTCCTGAGCACTCGTATTGTAATTTCTAGGCATTGCTGCAACGTAATTATCCAAATCATTTGCAAGCTCTGACGGAGATAACCAGTTTTCTACCTCTTTTAACAGTATATGCGCCTTAACATTTGCGGGTAATTGATCTTTTACTTGATCGACAATCAATAGTTCTCTTAATTTATCAAAAGTCTTAACTTTTCTGGATTCTAAGTAGAAATCAAGTGCTGCCTCAACCCTCGCTATGTGCTGAGTATACGTTTCCTCATATCTTTTTACACATTTTTCTAAATTCTTTTTATGTTGCAATGGGGTAATCTGGAATTCTTTTAATACTGTATCTTTAATCTTAATATAATTATCCAAATCCCTTTCACCCAGAGTTGAAATCAAACTTTTAACTTTAGTTTTTAAACTCTGCAAAATAATTTTCCCCTTATGTTCTTCAGGAATTTTATAGAGATTAAACATCATTTCCGCATGATGGAAAAAGAACGGCCATTCCTCAGCTTTAGATGGCGGGTCAATCATAACTCCTTTCATTATTTTTAAATGTTTCAAGAAATCATTTCCCTTGCTCTCAGCATCTGAAACCCCTTCATCCTCTGAGCCCGATTTATTTTCTCCTTTATCTATTTTCCTACTCTGAATTTCTAATTCTTTAATTTTTATCTCATGTTCTCTCTCTAATTGCCTTTCCCGAAATTCCATCTCTTTTAATCGGTCTTTAGCCGCATCTGCCTCTAACTTACACCTTTCTAGCTGCAGCTTCATTTCCTTTAACTTAATTTGAGCCTGCACGTTCTTAATAATTTCATCAGATTCTTCTGACACCCTATTTCTCCTTTTAGGACCCATATTAACTTCTGGTATTTCTTTTTTACAGCTTTACCCATACAACACATAAATAACACTTAATTTTACAGGCAAACATACATATTTCACTACTACTGAATACTACCATTATTCATTTAGCAAACATTATCATTAGTGAACACAATCATGAATACCTTTCTCATATTACTATTAACATATATTACTATTAACATATTTCACCATATATTGTTAACACATAAATACCAAAAATTATATTAGCTTTTGAATTAGTACAAAAAATAGTTCTGAATACTTTGGCCTTACGCCGTAATACCTTACATATTCTGGAAATGAAACAAACATTTACTTATTGTTCTCAAATCATTAAACTAATTAATTTTTAATCAACCTATTAACTTTAATGACTAAAACATTTTGCCAAAAACACGGGCAACAAAAAAATAGATAATTTCTACCTTAATTAGTAACATGAGCACACAATTAAATGTTTCGAAATTTCTGCTGACATATTTTTGAACTATTTTAACATTCATTTAGCATACATTATCTCCTTAATAACAAAATTAATCATAATTCCTTATTTGCATATAAAATATACTTTCTAAGTGTCTACTGGCTTTAACGCCTGGCATTCTCATCATGTTATTAACCGACATTAACACAATTTTAATTTTCTCCGTTACTATAGTAATTATAGGGAGGGAGCTCTCTTCATTTATATATTGTGCTTCCCAAGAAATTAAGAGGGACTTACCTTTGATCCCGATAGTAGAAAATGACGAGTTGTGCTCAATTCTGTACAATTTTTCCTCATCGCGCTGCATAACACTTCACTTAATAATATCACCACGGTAATACTGATGATCACTTTTACCATCCACTGTTCAACACTGCACGAACATTTCAATTAATAATATCACCACGGTAATACGATGATCACTTTTACCACCACTGTTTCAACACTGCACGAACATTTCAATTAATAATATCACCACGGTAATATGATGATCACTTTTACCACCACGTTTCAACACGCACGAACATTTCAATTAATAATATCACACGGTAATACTGATGACTTTTACCAGCCACTGTTTCAACACTGCACGAACATTTCAATTAATAATATCACCACGGTAATACTGATGATCACTTTTCACACGACGAGGTTTCATACACCCTTTCGTTTATTTGCACGTGTAGGCTTACGCGCGCCACTTTCCGTCTTTCATGACCATCTTTTGTCATCTTCCTTGCTTTCGTGAATTATTTCCTTCATTTAAAAACCACGTTCACTTCAAATCACTTTTACGATCTTACTTCCTTCGTATTTTTGGTGATTTCCTTTTTTCCCACTATCCTGTACCGGCTGCGCCAGTTTGTCATGCCTCGCGCTCGTTCAAACACGAGGTGGGTTCTTCTGTGGTAAACTTACCATAGTGGGAAAATAACAGTTGTCCGCTTTGACATTTTCTTCACTAATTTATTACACAAACTGCACTATGGATACACCATACAACGAGTACACTGTAAACATAAACTATATACAATATATATATACAAGGCGCGCAAAAGAAATTAAAACATATTTCTTTTCTCTACGTTCTCACACGGCATGCTCGCCGGTCCAACTTTCAGTGCCCTCTCCTTCCAGTCTTCCCCCCACCAGCCTGCCTCGACCAGTTTTTCCGGGGTAAGTCACTTCCGTTCTTCCTCTTTTCATCAGGGGAAGGAACTCACACCATAGTTAATAAAATTAACTATATTAATAGGGTGTGTTTAATTTATTAACTATGGTTAAACACGGCATGCTCGCCGGTCCAACTCCCAGTGCCCTCTCCTTCCAGTCTTTCTTCCCCCCACCAGCCTGCCTCGACCGGTTTTTCCGGGGTAAGTCACTTCCGTTCTTCCTCTTTCATCAGGGGAAGGAACTTCACACCATAGTTAATAAATTTAATTCCGAAAATTGTTTTAAAGTAACTTGAATGTAAATTGTTAAAAAAGTATAACGGGGACTTGAATTAAATCATGAATAACAAAATTCCATTTGTAAAAAGGAATTAAATTAAAAGCAAGTAATTAAATCAAAAGCAAGTAATCATTGCCATTGACCGGAAATTAGTTGACTTTTCAAGGGGAACAAACCAACTCCCTTTCAATGAACAATAATTAAGAAATAAATATGAAGGTGTTTCGTCCTTTACTCAAGTAATAAGGCGATGCCAAACTGGCAATTTAAGTTAGGCCAAATATTTCCGTGAATTGAAGGGATCAAGAACCAATGCAGATTACCAAGGAACTCATTCTGATTAAGCATTTTCGCTAATTCAATTTTGAGTGAAAAGCAATTTATGCAGTAAAATTGATAAATTACTTGAGTAATTGTCCCCCGACACCCTCGTGTTTATGCATTTTAATTCAAAAAACTATTTGTTAAAAAATTAAACATTGAAAATTGGCATTATGAAAATAGAACTCAAAGTAATTGAAATAAACATTAGAAAATTACGAAATATAAGAAATATAATGCAATTTTTGCAAAAACTAATCAAAAAATAAAATATATAGAATAAATTTAAAATATATATAATAAGAAAAGGGAATGTACATGAAGATATAAAATTAATCTATATTCAGAAAGGGCATTTTGTCAAAATTCATGAATTTTCGTTTCATGCCTTTGAAAAAAGGTTATGTACAAAATATTCAGGACACAGATTGAATATATAACATTTTGTTACAAAATGGCATGCATTTTTAGATATCGGAAATTTATTAATGCGAGAATGTTTCCAAGACATTATATTAAATATATTAAATATAAATATAAATTATATTAAATATATTAAATATTAAATATATTAAATATAAATGCAATACTGCATGTTCTAAACATACTGACAGCACTGTTTCATTAGTGCAGTGCTCTGCCTAGTATCCAGAGTATTATTTTAAAACCGTGTACGGTTATTATTTGAAACTAACCTATTACTGTGATTCAGATATTTGCTATAAGTTCTCCTTTCAATCTCCTCACCAGAATGTAAATTGAGTTAGAAAGTATTTAAACTAAGGTTTGAGGATTGTAATGCAGAGCGTGTTTCTGTCTCTCGAGGCCACGTTCTGCGACCTCTTGTAAGTTTGTAATTATTCGATCATGTGTTATTTACTGCCAACACTTAAATAGACACGTCGCTTAGAGTTTAGCTGAATATATAACATTTTGTTTCAAACTAACATTAACATTTTGTTTAAAACCAACTTAGGGTTAAATATAAGTGTGTATTTAAATTTAAATTTGATTGTTATTTAGTTACATTACGGCAAGTGGTGGTTTATTTTATTAAGCATAAGAAGTGCATTTATATTCAAGTTCTAATAAAAAAGGCTTATTAGACCTTTTTAAACCATTCTGTTGTTACATCAGACACAGCACTTAATTCGCAGTACGTCTATTAAGAGTTCTGGAGTATGCTTGCAAGAAAAGTCAAACTCCATAACCGTAAATACCTTTTAAAAGTACATGCCCTATTTAAAGCGATCACATGTATTTTACAGTACAAAAGCATTAAGCCAACTGATATCCCCCAACTTACAACTGAAAGATTTTGCATAGCAAATAGCAGGAAATAATCCCAAGGAACGAGTTCAAGACCCAGGAACTCGCCACAGAAACGTCAGGTAATAGCTCTGCGGAAGCTGTATACGTAAATCACTACATTATTATATAAGTTACGTTACTGCAAAATCGATTAATCGATCAAGTTAATTTTATCAATTCCATTTCGTGCTCTATTTTCAATGCATATTTCTTTTACTAGAAAATATATGTTTTTTTTTAATTTATTGTAAATTAAATTATATAAGAGATATAAAATTGCAAAATATTAATTAATCTTCAGTTTATATTACCGGCAAAGATTTTGAGAAGCAGCACTGTAGTTAAGTTTTTGGAGAAGCAAAAATTGTGTGCAGACTTGCTACTGCGATGTACGCTAGCACAACTAACCATCAAGGCACAAGTTTCCATTTAAAACCAAGAGAAAAAACTATGAGCTAAAAATGTTGTTAAATATTAAACTCATATAATGTTAAATTATTATTATTATTATTTCTTAGCTGTAGGTGGAATAAGAGATGGTGTGGATGGCAACACTCCGTGTATAGTAGTTGAAGATGGACGATCTCAAGGTGGAGCTACCGGAACTCCTTTATCTTTACTAACTAAAGGTAAATATGCTAAAATTTCTTGAGTTCTTATAACAATATCCGCTACTTTTTGCTTCATTATTTAACTTCTGATCCTTCTTTCAAAATCTCCAAGTAGTTAATTCTACAAGTTTGTATAAGCATTCTATATTTAAAAATAATTCAATTTCGTTTTTCATCTAATTCTGCCTTTTTCATAAAAACATACAGTAAAAGTATGTATTCTAGAGCCATTATAATTCATACAACGCAGTTCATTTATTTTAAGGGGACTCGTAGACCTTAAACCCCTCATGATCTTCGAATATGTGACTGTTGCAAGAATTGGGATATTTTATTTATTTTAAAAGCAATTACTTCCAACTTTTTACAGCTGACTGCATAACATAGCTTCTTTGGAAACTAGTAACCAGAAAGTTTGTGTTGCCACAAATATTTTTGTAATTTAATCGTCTTTGTGACAAAATATTTCGCCATGTTTCAACCTTGCGCGCATGATATTTTAAAAATGGCTAATGGTACATACTTGAAATTGGATGGAATTCTTTATATGGGCACTATTTTCTAACTGAACCAACAATCTGATGAATATTTTAATGGTGAAAAATTTTATGGACAAAAACATTACAAATTTTGTTAATAAAATACATTTTATAAACTCAACTCAAATCAAATAAAAATTTGACTTGAAATGTTTAGAATTTTAGGTTCAAAGTAATTTCCAAATGTTATAAAAGCTATGTATTAAATATGGAATTAAATTATGAAACAGAATGCTTTAAACTGTGCGCGCAAGTTGGAAACATGACGAAAAATGTTGTCACAAAGCGGATTAAATTATAAAACTATTTGTGGCAACACAAACTCTCTGATTACTATTTCAGAAAGCAGCTATATTATGTAGTCAGCTGTAAAAAGTTGGTAGTAATTGCTTTTAAAATAAATAAGTTATCCCAATTCTTGCAACAGTCACCTATTCGAACATCTTATGGGTTTGAAGGTGTATGAGTCCCCTTTTAATATGGCTGGCAGAATGATTTAAATAACTGGGACAGTAAAACTTCGAGCATTATTATTTTTGTCTCGGATTCAACCTAGATGGAGGAACAAAAGATAACGTATGTTTCTTCTTCATCCTTTAGCAAATAGTACACACTATTTGCTAAAGAACGGCCTCCTTTTAAATGTCTACTTTCCTTTTCAAAAAAAAAAAAAAAAACATTAATCTTCGAAATAATAAGTAAGGAAATACCGTAAAATTGAAATTTATCAGCTTAAAAAGTACTCAAAAATAACTGCGATTGATTTCTCTATGATCATAGTTTAGATCGGTTTATTTAATTATAGTTATGTAAGCTAGGACTATCTGCCTAAAGAGAGGAAGGCGTTCGTGAAGGAATTTTTAAGGAAAAATAGTTCATTTCCACGTTGTTCAAAGAGAAAAACACGAAAACGCCCCCCCCCACAATTAGCCTATTCGCATAAAATCGAACCCAGGTCGATCCACCAAAGTTCAGCGACTTTTCAGAAATCTGAATAGATAAATTGACGTGTTTACAAATACAATTCCTGAAAAAACATTTACGTGTAATTTATTCTGTCGGCTTAGCAAGATCTATTAGCTTAGCAAGTCTTATAGCAAGTCTCATAGCAAGATATATTTTTAATAGAATGTAGTTAAATTAAGTAAGATTATTTCTATTTAAGATACATGAAACTTTATTTTAATTGCACTATTAGGCATATGACATTTTGTTTCATATTTTAATATTTTGTTTAATATTTTAAATGCCGTTTCATATTATTCGGAATGCGCTGAAAAACAAAAACTTTATTCTATTTTAATTTTACACACTGCAGCGTAAACAAATTACGCATAACTTCCTTCTGCGTATATTTAAATCATTCCCATAAAGCAAATCCAAGTAGCTCTTAACACCTATTCTTTATTTTTTCGCAGTTTTCCTGAATATATTTTCTTTTAAAATGCGATGTAACTTTTAAATAATTTGAAACTCATATAGTGCTTTGAAAAAATAAACTGAAATGCTATGTCTATGTTCAGTTTATTTTGAATTTGACTTTTATACTTATTAAATATTTATTCTTCCGTTTGTAACGTTATCTCTTATTTCTTTTAAGTGCCTTGCAAAGTGAGCATAAATTTATAATCGCATTGAAAGCAACTGCTTTGATATAGAGTAAGATACTTTTTTATCCTCTGTTCTTAAAATATTCAAATAAGAAGCAGCTTAAACTGTACCAGACGTTACAGAGCGGAACGCGAAGAAGTAACGAAATATCTAATTTTCCTCTTCTCAAAGAATCCGCTCATAAATAACATGTCATTTCTAATAAAATCTAACAAATAGCTTCCTTTGAAATTTTGATATTTATAGCATTAAGAATTTTTTTTTTTTTTTTTTAAATTTTCTGTTAAAAGTAAAATGCTTTTAGTAGACTAATTCGAAAACTGAATTCTATCTTGAGTGCAGTTTAGTACATAGTATATGCACAGAAGTGCGCAGCAGAGATGAAACGAAAAATGTCATTTTGCATTTATTCTTTCTTATTAAATTGCCTTGTTTTCAATATTTTATTAAGAATTTTAACCGGAAATGTAAGACTTTTGTCATTCCAATAAATATGACTTACCTTCAGTCTAATAACGATAATTTATATAGTATTTATATATGGGATTTAAAGATCTATTTAACAGCCGCAATGAATTAATACCTTCTTACTTAGTAAAACATTTTAACGGAAGGATTCATAGACAAATTACAGATGCATGCACTGTTTAATTAATGGCAAACATCTTACGTCTTTGGACTTCACTAATTCGTTAACAGATCTTCCTCGGAGTAAAGTCGTTATTGACCACTGTCGTCAGATGATTATTTAATTATAATGTTTACTTTACACAAACATAAAACAAAAATAACTCCAATTTTAGTAATTAACAGATTTTATAATTAAGTTCACGTCAACCGTTATTTGAAACGTCAGTAACTCCGTGAGCATCAATTTCCCGTCAAGTTCGAAAGTCCCACTGTAGTTGATTAATACAGATCCTGTAGTATAGGTACGCGTTAGCCCCGAAAATGTCTTTTTTCCTTGAAGTACGCCAGCCGTCTGCCTATGTTGCATGGAAAGTTTAGTGGTCGTCTAGAAAGAAGTGCTGGCCAAAAAGTGTGATGTTGCCAGGCAACAATAACACATTAGAAAAGTCAAATTTTGCATTACAAAACTGGAAAGTTTTAAACTGAAGGATATAGTTTTTTACAGCTGTTTGTTTATCTGAAACGAAATACACTCTTAGAAGAGAAAAAAAAAAAAAAAAAAAACGCGCACTCAGAAAGAGTTATTCGAATGGGACGAAAATCAGTAGAAGTGATGTACATGTACAGAAAAACAAATGATTACAGTTTAAGAAAATTTAGATGATTTATTGAAGTGATAGAGCTTTACAAAGTAACGCGTTTGTCCACCTCTGGCCGTTATGCAAGCAGTTATTCGGCTTGGCATCGATTGATAGAGGTTGCGGATGTCCTCCTGAGGGATATCGTGCCAAATTCTGTCCAGCTGGCGTGCATTATCTTTCTGAAATGTAAGCCCAGGGTGGCGTGACATGAAGGGGCAGCACAACGGGCCTTAGAACTTCGTCGACGTACCGCTGTCCTGTAAGGTTGCGACGGATGACAACCAAAGGGATCCTACTATGAAATGAAATGGAACCCCAGACCATCACTCCTGGTTGTCGGCCTGTCTGCCGGAAGACAGTCAGGTTGGTTTCACACCGCTGTCCGGGCTTCTCCAGACTCGCCTTCGCTGGTCATCGGGTCTCAGTTCAAAGCGGGACTCATCACTCAAGACTATTCTACTCCAGTCAGTGACATTCCAGTGCGAATGAGGTGACTGCACTGCAAACGGTCTTGACGTTGTACAGAGGTCAATGGTAGTCGGCGCAAGGGGCGCCGTGACCTCATCCCCCTTCCTGTGAGTTGGTTGTCTGTGAATAATCCTTGCGGTCACTGAAGCTTTAGTAGCACGTACAGTCGATGATAATGATGCATCTAAAATGTCGCCGATAAGACCAACCGGCTTCTTTGAGCCCAACCTCTCGACCTCTCTCAAATTCTGACATCTGCGCATATCGTTGGCGCACCTGTATGCGAGGCATAGTTACTGTCTACCAGAGTACACGAAATGAAATTTGTAAAGAATTTATGACGTGGAATCGTAAATTCCTCCTCTTAAATATCCTGCCAGTTGCGCTGTAGCGACAACCGTTCATTCATTGGCTGCCAAAATGTAAAATTTGCATTTTCCGTCAAAACCTGTATGCATATGAATTTGTATCCAATTTTCTTTATATCTTCTTGGTGCGGTGTGGTGCGAGGTTTTTTTTTTTTTTTCTTTCCCTAAGAGTGTATAATTAGTACTTCCTCATACTAAGCTAAAGTAATATAAAAATAATAAACAGCTCTAAATATTCTTAATTTTTGTTGGAATAAAGTAATAGCTTTCTTTTCTGAAGGTAAATTCAAAATTGAAACGAAACATAAAGTTGCACAATTCAGACTACACTGGTATTTAAAGGTCCATCAACCACGCAAAGCAAAACGTAAACAGCTTGTATAATATCAGACATTTGCGTACAGATTTTCCGATGGTAGAAACGAACTGTTGTGCACGTGCCTATTTAATGAGTTGGCAAGGCATGCATACTCCACTATTAATACATGCATCTACATAAATGAAGCTATTTATATTTATGTTTTGTACCAGTTATTTAGTTCCTATGAAAATGGATTTCTTTCATTAGTAAGAGAAATAAAATCATCAAGCAAGGTCAAGAATTCAACCTTTTTATGAAATACAGAATAAGCGGATAGGAGATTTACAACTAGAGCTGCAAACGCGCTACCATGCATTTTAGACACGAAGAACTTTCCTCAAAGCTAGAGAAGTCAGTCGACAATCCAAAAAAGGTACCTAACTACTTACGAGTTAGAGCT